AATAAGAATAAAATCATTCTGAAAAGTTCATTATTCCAGTCATCTTTCTCCAATTTTCACTGGCTGCAAGAGCTACAAATGATGATCTAAGGACTGAACCTGTTGACTGTAATAAACTATCAGTCACCTCTGATCTGTAAGAATTAATGAAATAATGCTTTTAAAGGGAAAATAAAAACATTTCTTTTAAATTTGTAGAAAACATATAAAATATTTTGCTCAAAATGTTTTTCTTTTTTTTTCTTTAGATTTTTTTTTGTTATTATCTACTGTTGCAAAATCCTTTCTCCTGTGAGATCTCTCTGGCTTCTGAATTCTTATTTGTGGGGTTTTCTTGGTGGTTTTTTTTTGATTGCCCGTGACAGTTGATATTCTGCACTGTGCCATGATTTCTTGTTTGTCTGAAGTGTTGCTTAGACATAAACACACACCATTAATTGATGATCAGCATTCATGAACATTTGGCTCAGGTCTTGACAGCAGTTTGCAAAAAGAATGTGTAGCAAGTTTGCTTGGCTGCCTGGGCTCATAGATGAGACTTCCTGGGTGCATAATTTCTAACTTTTTGCTACAACAAGAAGAAAAATAACACATCCCAGCATTTGATGGTGTAAGGTAGTTTCAAATGTATTAGAGTGTAATAGGTACTGAGTAGAGCTCAAATCAGTCCAGCAGTTTAATTACCTAGGCAGCCTCATCTCCTCGGATGGTAAGATTGACGGAGAGACAGACAACAGGTTAGCAAAGGCATAGAGAGCTTTCAGAAAGCTTCATAAAAGAGTTTGGCAAAATAAACACCTGAAGAAGAGTTCAAAGATCAGTGTTTACAGAGCCATAGTGTTGTCTACTCTCTTGTATGGTTCCGAATCATGGGTCATCTACCGCCACCACCTGCGTCTCCTCGAACGCTTCCATCAACGCTGCCTCCAAACAATCCTAAACATCCACTGGTCAGATGATGTGACCAACACATCTGTTCTAGAGCAAGCAGCAGTCACAAGTATCGAGGCCATGTTACTGAGAACACAGCTGCACTGGGCAGGGCACGTCTCCAGGATGAAGGACCAACCACCGCCTCCCTAAGATCTTGCTTTATGGTGAACTTGCCACCGGCTGCCACAAGAGAGGAGCCCCAAAGAGAAGATACAAGGACTCCCTGAAAGAACATCTCAGCCTTGGCCATATTGATCATCATAACTGGTCTACTCTGGCCTACAGTCGGGAGGTCTGGAGACACACCATCTATAACGCTGCTGATGCCTTTGAGAACGCAGCAGGATCACTCTCGAGGAGAAAAGACAACGCAGAAAGAATCGTGCCTTGCAGAATTTACCACCTAAGGAGTCTTTCTGCTGTGCCTTTTGCAACAGGACTTGTCTATCTCGTATTGGCCCTTTTAGCCACCAGCGTGCCTGTAACAAACGTGGGTAGTGCCTTCCCAAATCTTCATTCGCGAAGCCTGGCCATGATGATTGATTAATATTTATTAAGAAATTGCTTTATTCTTCCTTGCATCATAGCATAGTATATCTTGATTTTTCTACAGGGGGTTTGAGTATCGTTCCATGTGAAGCTGTGCTTATAGCATCAAAAAACCTGAAACAAAACATCACGTGAAGGCAAAGGCGATTCAGCAATTTAGAGCCTCAAAGGAACGAGATGTTTGTTAGCAGAGCAAACCTCGCAGAAGGTAGATACAATGCAAACCTTCAACAATTTTTTTTTCAATTTTCCACCTTCTTGGGAGGTCACAGTGACTCACATAGAAATTAGAAATGTTCTGTATTAGCATAAGCTTTTAGGATCACTTAATTTCCTTAAGTCATTTATCTAAGCATAATATATTGCATTTTAAAGGGTAGTTTTGAAGCTATTGCAAAAAATGGTACTTATGGAACCAGTGTAATGCAGAAAAGACAAAACTGAAAGCACTTGACACTTATACAGGTTCTCTCCCTTTTATAAAGTTTCTTCCCACACGTTCACGCCCCATGTGGATCACGCCTGTGTCCCAAACCGCACAGAGAACCCCATCCAAGCACATCAGACCTCAGTCCAGCAGGAATTGCACTCTTCCCTTTGGTGGTGACTGTGCCAAGCATGCAATCCTGTGCCCCAGTGGAGGGAAAAAACAAACACAAATCCTTTTTACAGTATATATATTATGTTTCAGCTCAAAGCATTGTTTGTAAAGCAGTCTGTAAGTTTAGAGACAGTTTTGAAAGCTATGTAAAATTTTATTTTAATAATCTACTACTTTATGGTGAATTAAGAGGAGATGCTTCTCATAGTTAAGGAATTTGTGGTCATGGATCAGATTAATAGAATTTTTCTGATCAATTAAAAATGATAATTTAGTTGATAATTTCTTAAAGAGGAAAGGAAATCTTGGTATTGAAGACTGTCTGGAATCCTGCATGTCCATTGGAAAATTTATTTGCTGCTTAAACTTGATTGCTCAACCACAAGTTGCAGGCACCCAGAAACATTCCGGAGGAGTTTTCTCTTGGAGACATCTGTTGATGGATCACTGAAATCTGCTCATCTGACATGTGCTTTATGTGGGTTCATTTCTAACAGATCTGACTGAAATAAACTAAACCCCAAAGGATTCTGCAAGTGTGACACCTTTTCTTTTGCCTTGCTCTCAGGTTTCTCCATAAGTCTAGCTTAGCCCTGTTCTGCATAATAGATGTGTTCTGAGATTACCCACATTGTGCTGTTTGAAATCCTGGAATTACCAGGTCACTTGTCTTTCACTAATTTTTATCATGTGAAACCTTTTTATCAAACTATGTATCCTTGGCTTATTTAGTTTTTTTTACTGAATTATGAGGAAGTATTTATGTTTTACAGAGACACTCTGGAATTACATGGGGGAATGAAAGGAACAGCTTTAACGTACTTAGTCAAATACATATTTATCTCTGTAAGATTGTTAGTGGCATGTATGAAGAACTACTAGAAACAGAAAAGGTGAAATAATCCCTCTGAAACACTTAGCCTTTCATTTTATTTTAGGTGTTTGGACGAGTAGGAACAGTCTATAGCAAGCAAAATTTACAGTCGTTACAGAAAATTTCCCTACAAATCACTATACATTTTTTATTATTATTTGTTATTTTCTTTTTACCTTCTACTCCAACTGTGAAGTACAACTCTTCAATGTTTCCACTGTGATATGCTAGGGAAATATGGAAGAGTTGCACTTCAGACTTGGAGTACAAGGTAACCTTTTACTGAAATTCTTTCTGTCCTCAAAGTGGGAGATTTAAATAATAATAAAAAAAGATAGTGATTTGTAATGAAATGTTTCCTTCCCTAGCATACCAGTATCCTCAGAGCCCAGTTTTAAATGTGCTGTGCATGGTGTGACTGTGGACAGGGCATGAGAGAGGAAATAACCTGTGTGTGCCAGAGCTTAGTCAGGCTATTTAATACAGACAGTGGAGGGGGTTTAAATGGATTTTACTGCCTTCCTGACAGAAGTATGGAAAATAGAGCAGAACAACAGGGATGTATTTGCTTTGATGACAGATGTGTTGCTGGTAATACCTAATATGGAATCTACAGTCTAGTTTTGTAGCACTGAAGCAATGTTGAAAGATTATTCTATATCTTACTAAAACTCTGTTCCTATAATTGTTTAGAGTTTCCTGCAGTGATAAAGTGCTTTTCCTCTCCCAGCACTGATATGATGGCATAACCTTCATCTTTTTAGAGACTTACCATTGCAATATAATCTGATTTGGGTAAGAACCCCTGGATGAGGGGGTGATAAGCACTGGGAAAAAGTGAACGTGGTAGCACTCAACAGAAGTAGTTTCGTATGTGACTATTGCAATCAAATACACAAATAACTTTTGGACAGAACTTGTGCTGGTGTTTCACCTTCAGAGTAAAAGGTGCCAGTTACCAAGGTACCAATGTTTTTAATAGTTATTATACTTTATTCCACTGGCTAAACTCCAGGTATTTCAGTGCTTTTCACTGTTGTGAGCAAAAGGGCACCTGTAAATCATGCTCTCTATTACTGGAAAGTGACTGTTACCCACCAGGACCTAGTCATGACTCAGTCTTTCTAATTCCATTAAAAACAATATTCTGCTAGATCATCTTTTACTAACAAATGTAAGAAATAATCAAAATAGTAAATGGAAGCTGTGATTCTTGAAGTGCAGTGCTAGACTGAGAGACAGAGCAGTGGTCTCAGAACGTGCCTACAAAGAAAATCAGAGCAGCAGCAATGAGCTGTTTGCTTAGAGCAACATTAATAAAGTCAAACTGCCTCTGGCTTGGAGAAAATGCAAGTGCCTTTATTAGCCTTCAAGAGAATGCTGGAACAGTATGTGTGCTGTTGCTTTGGAGAATATTTGCTTCCTTTCTGACACACATTCTACCTTCTGCTTCCTTTCTGACACACATTAAGAACTTAGAGCAAACACTCAGATATCTTAATTGTCTTGCTGCCTTTACTGTGCTGTGCTTGATTTTCATCCTGGGAAGCCATATGTGGAAGGCTTTTGGGATCAGCCAGACAGAATGCCTGTTTTTTCTTCCTAGCAATGAAATAGTAATCACTTCTTAAAATAGAGATGGCCCTGAAGTGTGACCATGGTAAGATCAGCCTTTGATAATACTGATCCTGTGCAGCATTTGTTTGTAGTGCTTGCAGCTTTTATTTGTAGTTAGCAAATATGGGCGCCCTTGAGGTTCACCCAACCTTTTAAGAATAGGTTAAAATTAGAAGTGACTGGTAGAGAGTTCATCTGCTAAAAAGCAAAAAGCTAAACTGCTTTTGGATTTGCTGTCATTTCTCTGCAGGCAGTAAAATGCCAGCTTCCTGCTTTACCAACACAAACCCATTTGCATTAATAATGCCATATTCAATGTAGTGAAGGAAAAGATTAAATTTCCCTCAATAGATACAGAGCAGGTTTTCCTGAGGCTTTCCTAAGCAGGAAATCTGGCAAATAATGAGCACAGATTAGCAAACCAAACCTTGAAGCAGAGAGGTGATTCCTGGCAAAATCAGGTTTCACTTGTGATAATTCAACATCTCATTTAATCTTTCCTGTAGAATAGTTGGCAAAAGTATCATATATTTTATCATATCTGATATATATTGGTTTAGAAGTGTCCTACATAGATAACAAGAAAGACAGTATTGTAATAAGGATTTACTAACAGTCTTTCCTTAGTAATTCTTCAATGATTTCTGTTGCTCTGAGCATTCTCTTGCACTTTATCTCCTGTCAAAGAATCTTTCAAGACAAAAAAAAAAACAAACCACAAAACTCCCTCTAGTCTAGAAAGGATGGATTTTGCCTTATTAAGAGTAAACTGATTTTCAATCAGCATAATTAAAAAAAAAAATAACAGAACTTTAATATAGACTAACTACTGCCCTAGATGTAATAGTCTTCAACTCTCAATAGTAAAAGACTGCTATGACATTTCATTGATAAGATGCTAATTTGTGAAGATTTCATTAATGATCTCAAGAAGTCATTAATTTAGTTTTAAAGAAGAATAGAATGGAATAGGAAAATGTGATGTTTGTGTTTTACAGGTTTCACTTGTTATCTATCACTCCTAAAATTAGAGAGGGGATTTTAATTCACTTTGATGTTGCTTTAGTTTATTTTACTTGTAGGCACATAGAGTAAAATGTGTCTCATACAGGAAATTAACTGCTCAGACTCTGGAAGAAAAATGTATCTGTTGATATCTGACACATTTTATGACACTACTCAGTCTGGATGTAGATTCAAATTTGAATATGCAACATCTCCAGACTCTAGTGGTCACATGGTACAGCAGAATTCTCTTCTCTTCATGTTATTAAAGTGCAAAGATTCTACTTGAATGAAAATAGTTTCCTCTATGTATTTCTGACCATGTTGGATATACCATAACAAACTTTCTCAGTGTTGTTTGTTTCTTCCTTGTTCTCTTTGCAGAGGTGATGCTGAAGCTGAAAGGGAGCTAAGAAGGAATAGGATTATTCTGTTTTATGTTCATCTAGAGCCACATTGATACCTGGCAGGAAGAATACCAAGCTTCCAACTCTGTCTATTGGTCCTTGCTCTTCTTTTCCCTCAACACTCTTGTGCATTTAATTCCCTGCACTTAATGATAAAGATATAAACCAAACTTTATATGTTGTTTTGCATACAGAACTTCTAACTGATAATTAAACAACCATTTAATTGGCAGTGAGTGGTTTGTCTACCAGAAAAGTCAAAGTGAGAAAGACTTGTTTTGTTAATGACATTGTCCCACTGTTGGGTTTTGTTGCTGTTTAGTTCTATCACTCTTCTTAACAGGTAACAATGGAACTGAAAGTAAGTTGCTCCTGGTGTGCAGGGAGCATTTGGGATAGGATCCACCTAAGGCTTTGCATTTTAATCTATCATCTTATGTTTGCAGAGGAGACTAAAGAATTTTCTAAGGTTCCATAAGCTTTTCTACTGCTGCATATTTTGCTGTACCATTTACATCTAGAGCATTTTCAGACCATCTGGAGCAAATCTGTGTGCAAAAGGAAAATAGAAAAAAACTCCCTGTTCTTTATGGAAATCTATTCTGTGAGCCCCTCCTCTCAGTCAGGCAGGTTTTCATCCTCTTTTTCTCAGGATGGATGGAACACTGCTACTTATGTAACAAAGCAATGAGTTTTCTCTTTTAGAATAAAAAGTAGGGTAACTAAGCAACAAAAATCATCCTTGTGCTGAACAAAGATTGCTTTCTGATCGTTAGGATACTAACACCAATACTTTCAAGAATTCAACACTGATGCTTTCAGTGTGAGCAAGTAGCTTTCAGCCTTCTCATTCTCATTATGTTGTTTTAGTAATGCTCAAAATGTTTTTAAACCCTTTTTTTGTAGGGAAAAATCTATGGTCCAGCTCTCACTCTAACCCACACAACTTCCAACAAGGTGCTGTTTTCTTCACCAGGATCCTGTCTTGGTGTGTTTATCTCCATGGGTAAATCAGGATACAGGATGAAGACACTTAGCTTTCTGGTTAGGTAGAATTTTTTTCCATTAATTTGGCTTTTTTGACACCATACTAGTGCTGACATTAAAAACTTAATCTGAAGTTTTAACCCAGGGTTTGCTGATGCCTCAACTAAATCGTAAACTGCTTAATGTGGTGATCTTCTCTGTCCCCTCACACAGCAAGGCTGGGGGGCTGTGCTGCTGAGCTTTCTGCCTGCTGCTCTCACTGCTGAGGTGGATCCCGTTTCTGGTGACCCAATTCAGTCCCTTGATAGGAAAGTGAAGAGGGTTAATTGGTGGCTTTACCTGGGCTTTACTCAGGTGTCTCTGTGTGACCATGCAGACTTTGTGCCTGTCTGCCACGCCTGCAGAGTGGTGACAACAGTTCTTTCTGCTTGGGACATTGTGTTCAAGCTCCAGGAGCTACCAGAAAAAGTGTTCTTCAGGGCATTTATGATGTCATGGCTCATGTAAGGAATATGAGGGAAACAATCCCATTCCCATTCCAGTCGCCTGTAGAGCTCCAGGCATTCCATGGCACTGGTGTTGTTTAGTGGTGTCTTGTTCTTCCCTTCCCACTCTGCAGTGCTGGGGGTCTGAGCCTGCTTCCAGGAGCTGAGTGTAGGCCCAGCACCAAGCCTCCACTCCAGATCAGAGCTGGGATCATCTCCAGGCAGGGTCTTCTAATAAGCCAAGAGCTCTCATAAAGCTTAATGTGATTATCCACACAAGCAAGCACACACAGGGACACAGCAAGCCTTAGCTGGAAATAGCATCTTGGGAGACACAAGCATAATGACACTTTCTTACATACCAATGTATGCTATGTGTGATAAAAGAATTCAGTTTAAAGATACCATTCACCATTCAAAAAGAAAAAAAAAAAGAAAAAAAAGAAAAAGATGAGAGTTTTGAGGTCAAATTTTGAACCACAGGCTTTTTAGGGACCACAAATGGTGAAAGGGACTTGTATCAACTGTGGAGGATGAAAATTTCTCAAACTTATTTCAATGTAGACTTTTCAAGTTAATTTTTAAGTTATTTCAATTTCTGTTCATGTAAGTAGTTACAAAGTCACACCTTACAGATGTTGTGTGTATAAGCTCAAGGGGATGTTTGAATCAGAAGATGGAGAAAGTGCCAGTTTCCAGGTTTGGGCCTGTTTAGTTGCACAGACCTAGTTAACAAGACAGATTTAGGATTATAGCCCTAAAATTCCCTGTTTGTAATCCCATTTGTTTGTAGCATTGTTAGTAAAAGTGGGAGACTGGTTTACTGGCAGAAAAGCCAGTATATTTAGTAGAGCTCCTACTTAGTAAAATTTGGAAATTTTTCTCTCACATGTTGCGTAACACAGTGAAGATCAGGGTTAACAGCACAGAGGTCAGGAAAGCTTTGTCAGGTGCCTTCTTCAAGAAGCTGGATGAGCAGAGTGCTTTGTGAGGGAACACGCAGGGTGACTAGAGTGCCAGGTTTAAATAGGAAAGAGGACTGGTATGGTCACAGGAGGCAGTGGCAGGCTGAATGGGAAGTCAACAAGCCCATGAGGAATTTTGCCATAGCCCTTGTTTCCTCTGGTAATTAGGAGCATGGATGCAAAGTTTGGCAGTACACTGGTTCCTTTGCTTCAGGACATACACTGTGGGGTGTTTGCCTGTGTTGCTGGCAGAAATTTGGTGTTGTGAATGCAGTTGTACACCGATATTGAAAGCACTGGGTAAGGAAGCTGTATTTTGAAATGGAGGAAAGGTTGTCAAATAAGTAGACACTAATTGTTCTGGAAATTAGCACTGAAGAAACTAAACACTTGGAATTAAAGAGAGGATGGCAAAAAAAAAAAAAAAAACAACTAAACAAAGTGAGAGGGTGTGCTTAACAAAGAAAGAGAAAATATCTGAAATAAGACACTGCATAGAGCAACTGGAGACAGGGGTAACCATCGGTATGAAATCACAGCTGTCCATAATTCCCAGTATCTGGGGGATTAGGGAAGAGAAGCTGAAGAATAAATGACAGATGAGGAAGATCCTAAATACAAGGAATAGGTGAAAATCTATTATAGTAACACAACTGAATGGTGAGTTGTGTGAGCAGACCCAAGGGAGTGGGTTTGGGGTTTAGTATCCATTCATGCTTGGACAGGACTAAAGTCTTATCAAAGCTGGAGTAAAGAAATAGGTTTTGCAAGTAAAGTTGTACAGAGGATGAGATCCCAACCAAGCTGTGCCATTTGCTGTGCTGTGCTGCATTGCAGGGACCAACAGGAGGAGGGAATGAAGGCAACCTGAGCCTGGCAAAGAAACCAGTGCCTGGGCCACCGAGCAGGGCTGAGAGCAGAGGATGGGAGTGGGATGATGGACAAGGGAAGGTGACCCAGATAACAGAGGAAAGAGAGATTACCTGTCTCTTCGAATCCGATAGTTTTGGGATTTATAACTTCCTTCTAAGGATGGTTTGTTCCAGTTTGTGCCTTTTATATGTCCCGTGACAAATGTGGGTCTGTTGCTGGCCAAAGTACTTTCACTGGATCCTTCTATTTGATAAGAACTGCAGAGTCTCACTGTGTGATGGCAATTCAAAATCTTGGGAAATTTAAGAAATGGAATTTGACTCATTAGGATGGAACCAAACAGTTTAACTGTGTTACTATGTCAATACTCCCCTGAATTTGCAGTATACTGTGTTTTAAAATTGGTGTCTCTTTCAGTTTTGAGTCCATGCAAAGCCATTAGAGGTTACTAAAGTACAATTTCCCAAACTACCAGGAAGATGGCAAAATAAAAATTCAGAGCATAATCACGCTTTAACCTCTTGGTGCCTCAGTGCAATGGGTGCCAGCCTCTCCTCCCAGGGACACTGAATTCCTTAATTAATACTCAAAGTGCTGAATGATTTGGGTAGGCTTTTTATGCAATTAAAAATATGAATTAAGTCTTAATGTTGCCCCTGGAACATCACTGTTACTTTTAATATTTTCTTACCATCGTTTCACTATACTCTGACTGCACTGCACTGATTTCCCCAGTTAAGCTTGGGTTTCCTCTGTTGTGCTACTGAAAACCTACTCAAGACCTCTTTCTTTGCTTCTCACTAAGAAATTGGTTGCTTTACTCAGACTAGCAAAAACCATTCTTTCACTAGCTTAAAATAAATTCATAGTTCTTGAGTTTAAGGCACTTTTATTTGTTCTTTCCTTATGGCCAACCCTCCATATTTCTTTTCCATTTCATAAATGCATTCTGTAAAGATGTGAGAAAAGGACAGACGAGGACCTCATTACAGTTCCCAAGTGTTTTCCCTTTCCTCCTCATAAATAAAGTACTTTTGAGAGCCTTCACTTGCAGAGAGATCATTCATATAGTTTGTGTTTCATAAGAGTAAACCGAATTACTTCCAAATGCAGCATATGATGTAAATATTCAGAAGATTTTGTGATTATGTCTCCCAAGCTCACCAGAGACCTGAATCATTGTGGAGAATAGCTCCTCTGGGCTGACACTGCCCAGCTCTCTGGAGACAGAGGAGAAACAGGTGACACTTTTGATGCTTCTGAAGTCACGCTGTGCTCTCACTGTCTCCAAAGGAAGAAGGGATAGGATTGTGTTTGTCAATGATTTCATGTTCCCAGTCTTCCCTGGGTCATTTTTAATGTCTGACTTTCCTGTGTGCAGCTTTGGTTCTGTGTCAGGTGCTGGTTTTTGCAGCTGTCTGGGCCAGGGGCTGACTCCCAGCCTCACACACCTTCACTGAGTGATACCAACAGTAACACCACTTACACCAGGGATTTTTCTAGTACTTCCTCTTTCATTCACTTTTCATGAACAAACTTTACAGATTGAGGGGAAAACTGTTACGAAATAGATTAAGAGTGAAACTGGTAGATACTGAATAGGATTTAATGGAAATTAAATATTTACAGAGACCTGACATCTGTACAGACTTCTCCACACAGTCCCAGGGACAGAAGTCATCTCCTAGATGGCCTTGATCCAGCAGAGTGCTTAAGGCCAAGGGGTAGTTTCCCTGAGTTAATTGAGAATATGTATGCCTATTTAAGTGCTTTGCTGGACTGCAGCCTTGCAAACACTATGCTTTCGTTTATATTCCTTTTTTTTTAGTTTTTATTTTTATGTAAGGATATGAATCTCCACTGGTTCATTGCCTTATATTATGACAGCAGCATGAGACAAGTATCAATCAGTACCTACAAATTGAAATGAAGGCTGATTTTTTTTTAATAAATATTTAATAGCTGCCCTTAAGAACCACTAAATTCCTTTCATCTGTAATAAATAACTTACAAAAGCAAATTTACTTTTGGGCTAATGGGAGCAAGTGTGTTCTGTTCTGTGAACAGTTTTACGGAGGAAACAAATAAATTTAAAGGCTCACCTGAGTCCACACGTCTACTTCAAGGGGAAATTATTTATGGGATGAGCTATTTTATTTAAATGACTACTTATGAGACAAAAGCTGAGAGATGTTGAGTAAAGTATGTTTGTATCACCTACTCCTTCTCTGCCTGTGCTTGGATGTCGCTTTAAAATAGAGTTTCTTTGTTTAGCTCCTTTGGTGGAGACAGTAATTCAGTACTTCAAAATACTGATTAATTCTAAGTCATTCTCTATTAAAGCCTAATTGAATCAAAATTATTACCTTTAGTAAAACTATCATTAAGTTAATAATTTATTTCAAGCAATGACCAAAATATGAATTATTAATTTACACAATTAATTGAAATGTTGAAAATTTTAATTTTGTTAAAAAACCCACTACCACCACCACCACCAATAAGCGTCCACCCAGGAGTATGAAAACAGCGTGTTACAAAAGATTCAGATAGCATAAGATCACGAGGCAGTTCAAAGGGAAATATTTACAGTTATAAAATCTCGATGATAAAGAGGAATAACAAATTAATATAAAACCCATTTAGTGAGACTAAACAGATCCATGGCAGTAAGTGCCTGTTTCTGGTTTTCTCAGATAAATTTACAGAAAGTTTTCCTCCAATGAAAATGGGGGAAAACTCCCAATGGAATCAATCCAGGATGTTTTTGTCAAAGGTGGCATTTGCTGGTTTTTGTTTGGTACTCTGGCAAGATAACCTGTCTGGTTCAATTGTTCAAACTCATCCCCAATATTTATTTTTACAACATGATTATGAGGAGTAGGGTATGACATTCCAGTGCTAATGCACCTGCTGACATTGGATTTGCGTCACCTTCTTCTGGGCTGAATATAGAATGCATTCCAGATAATTAATTTAGAGAAATGCAGCCTGCCTGTCACTCTGTGTTTCCCAGGCAGTGTTTCTGGTACACTGTATATTTGATCTGCAGAATCTGATAAGGGAGACAGTGTGCAATTTTTC